TTCATTCATTCATTCATTCATTCATTCATTCATTCATTCATTCATTCATTCGTGCACTCATTCATGTGTGCATTCATTCATTTATTCATGACCAAATAAATCATGGAGAAATGGAATTTTCTAGCATTGCAAATACATACATTAATGAAAAGGAATGTTTAAAAGAGAAACAGTCATGCACATGGATAGAAGGCCAGCCTCGTACTCAGGAAGGCTTGGATTCAAGTCCTGTTTTTGACATATATTGGCCATGTGACCTGGGAAAAGTCATTTACTTATCCTTTCTGTACCCCAGGCAATTCTTCAAGACTCGTCAGTAGCAACTAAGCTGCCCATCTTCATCATGGAGGTAGTTTCTATACTGGGGATTCCTCCACACTGATGAAATTACTGGTCTAGAACAGAAACAAGAACATTAACAAAACATTCTTCCTATGTGTTTCTTCTCCCTCTGCCTCATGTTGTGGCCTGAGCAGGTGCTTATCCTCAGGAAGATCTGAGTTCAAAATCTCACCTCAAATACTTACTAGCTGTGCGACTCTGGGCAAGTAATTGAATCCCTATCTGCTAGGGATAGGGATCTCAGTTTCTTCAACTGTAAAATGGGTATAATAATAGCATCTACCTTACAAGGGTTATTGCGAGGATCAAATGAGATATTATTTGCAAACCTAGCATGTAGTAGGCATCTAATAAATGTTTGTTCCCTTCATTTTCCTTCGCTACTCACCCCTATCCCGATTCTGGATGGAAACTACTGTTTTCTTACAAAACAAGTGTCCCCATCAGAGATAAAATATTGTACTGAAGAGGCCATAAGGCTGACCTGGTAGATGACAGAAGTAGAGCATTTATTAAGTGCCTACTGGATGTCAAGCACTGTGTTAAGTGTCTACAGTGGCATTTCTGATGTTTATTATATGTTTAGAATAAATTGAGTTCTTTTTTTTCCTCCCACAGGTTCTCTGTCTCAGGTCATGGGGAGTGTGTCTTCGTGGACCCCACCAGACTCGTCACGTCAGATTGCCTGATGACCAGGCCCTGGGTATGCAGCAAGATGGCATACACGTGAAGCAGGGGTGTGGCAGTGTGAGAAGCTGGCCAGCACATGCCTCCCCCTATGCCTTGGCCCAGTGATGAGAGGCCCCAGCTGTCACCCCGACACTCACCATGGAGCCACAGACCCCGGAAGTTTTCTCTGTCAGCCATGCAGCTGTGAGACAGTAGTATATTATCCCCAGGTCTCAGTCCTGGGCTCCTGGTTCCCTCCTTTGCACATATCCTATCAACTTGCTGTGCCATTCTAGACAGGCTTTGAAGCCTGGTTATGCCTCTGCCCTCCCCTTTGGCTAAATAGCACACAACTATGCTTCCCTCGAGGCCACATGTGGGCACCATGTATGACTATTGCCTGTAGTGAGGGATAACAAAGCAAATATTTACCATCAATATCAATGTCACCTCCACATAAGCAGCTCCCACATTTATTGCAGCCCCATGAAACCGGGTAGCTCCTCTCCACTGGAGATCTCCTTATTTTGCTTGATCTTCCTGACATTTTGGAGGCACTGAAATTTACCTTATTACACTGGTTTTTAACTTAATTTTTTTTGAGAACTAAAGTATTTATATATTTTTTGGAAATATTTAATCTCCCTCCCCCCAGCTCTTACAATCACTGGCAGAATCCCTTAAGTCACTCTTTTTTTCCCCCATATCTGCCTTGCTTTTTGCACTTTCTGGTTGTGGTCAGGAGACCTTGGTCTCCTTGGCTACTCTTCCCAAGGTAGGCTTCAAGACTTGCCTCAGAGGGACTCAGCTTACAGTGAGCCGCAATTGTCCAGTGGCACTGTCCTTACGCGTGCTTTGGAGCATTCTTATTACACAACGTAGTAGCACTGGTGCTTCTAGAAAACAACAAACAACAAAACAAAGACCGTCATAAGTTATTTACAAAGTGGCACACACCCGCCTTACCCAAGAGCCACAACCCACTTTCCCACTCGAACCATTCCTGTCCCCATCACAATGAGAGGGAGGCTTCCTATCTGTCATGTAGAAAAAGTCCTGTGTGGTGCAAGGGAGGTCTGGGTGCCCACTCTCATGTTCTCTTGGCCCCGTGCTTTGTCTCCCATTCTGCTTCCTTAGCGCTCCTCCAGCAGGCCCCCTGAGCATATCTGTGAATGATGTGTTGATTACTAATGGAATAAAGACCTCCTCCCACAATCTCCCCTAGAGGAAACATTTGTGTCTATCTTGCATTTTTTCCCTTTCTTTCTTTCTTTCCTTTCTTTCTTTCTTTCTTTCTTTCTTTCTTTCTTTCTTTCTTTCTTTCTTTCTTTCTTTCTTTCTTTCTTTCTTTCTT